GATCTGAAAAGTTTGTAATGATTCTCCAATTCATATCTTCAGCCCCAACCTCACACCTGAGTTCCATATTTATTTATTGATTGGCATCTGGCATCTAGGGAATTTGGACTCACACATAGACTAAGAAATCAACATTCTTCACTTATTGTGCTCATATAATTGAGTTAACATGCTCAGACTTATATAAAATCATCAGACATTTTGTACAAGAGGGATCATTCCTCAGCATCATATTTACATGTCATTGGGCTTAAAATGTTCTTTTCTGTATTTTTTCACTCAGTCTTTAATGTCATTCTTCCTTACTGTATGCTTGGAGAAGTTATGGACACTCCTTATATATTTATTTATTCATAGTCCATGCAAAGACTATTCATTGCATAATTAGCATGCAACATGAGCTAGAGATGCAGAAGGAAAGAAAACAGAGTTCCTGATCTCCAGAAACATAGTCAAGTGGGGAAGACTGTGTCATATATATGAAATGTGTGTGTGTGGAATGTGTGCTTTGCTCTCATATTTGTGACATTTAAATATATATGCTTATGTTCATTTGACATAGAGATGTGTACTGATTAAAAAAAAAGAAATTAAGCAGAGAATGGAATAGAGAGTGGTGGTTTTGTTTTGTTATTTATAGTGGTGTCACAGAGGAACCCTTGGTGACAATAACATTAGAGTAAGGCCTGAATGGAAAAATGGAATAATACTGTATTCATATAAATGAAAGAACACTTTAAGCATAGTCACAGTGTATATAAAAAGAGTTTTGAGGACTTCACCGCCACCAAGAGAGAAGAGCTAGGTTGGAGCACATCCTTTGGATCCAGGATCCCTGCGCTGAGAACCCCGTAGACTGAGAGGACAGAGAGAGCAAGCTGTAACAATGGGAATGACAAGAGACATCAAGAAGCAGCAGCAGAGAAATGGCAATAGCAGAGGGAGCAGAACCAGGAAACTGGTAGGAGAAGGTGCAGTGGGCTTCCCAGCCCACAGAGCAAGAAAGTTGAGTGCCTTTGTGCAGGAGGCTTGCTGGTGAAGCAGAGTGCCTTTGGACACTTGATGG